TGGCCAGTTCTTCATCAATTTTATCAAACGCTCGTCTGAACGCTAAAACGTATTACATCACCCGTTAAATGGCCTTCTATCTTCGTGACTGAATTCAAGCGAGGATTTCGTTATAACACAGAGTTCTTTTAGTCCATTAACAGTTAAAAGTGGCTGCCATTTAAGAATGTGCGAAGAGAACAACCTTCCTCTTTCCTGCTTCTAGGAAAGACTATATAATTTAAAACGCTAAATTTTGGGAGGCAGTAGGCTGAGCAGCTGTCGCTTCGGGTATAGGGTGGATATATGTTGTGAATATTCTGGCATGGTCAGCAAACATACTGACAACTAATAGAACTAGCGATGCGATAGAAGAGTGGTATAGAACACGTCCCTATATGTACGCTGTAACAATTCTCATTAATATTAGTTAAACCAGTAGTGACAAAAGTTCTAAGCACTAGCCTCCCCCTGACGTTTTAGCATTCTGTGCCAGGAATGTAAATTGTTGAATCCATGGACCAGCAGATAAAATGTAACACTTCAACATCCATGGGCCTTAGCCATCTAAGATATCGCATTGGGACACTATGTTCAGCCCATATTCAGCCTCTAGCATTAGCAACACTAACTATAGCTTTTTAAATATATAGCTTGTGGGAGCCTGCCTCGCCGACTCACGCTGTCTGCGGCTCGGCAAAGAAAAATGCTTGTACGTTTTGAATCTCATATCGTAGGCTTTGGTTTCCAGCCCTGAATTGTAAAAAATAGCAGTGTTCAGTTTTATTTTTGCTCATTTAGACAATTGGGCTAAACCAGCCTTGATTATTTTAGTCTATTTACATTTTTATTTACGTTTACGCCTTCTGGATATCTTTTTTCGCCCTTTCAGTGTTCATGTTTTCTTTGTTCACGTAAGGTTGCTATAAATACTTCCAAACTCTCCTTTGAACTATGTTTAGTGGCGGAATTCTAGAAGGGGAACAGCAAATTGACCGTGAACGGATACGAACATACCGCAGCGTCTTGAGTAGAATTTCTGGACCCCGAACGCACTTTGACAATTGGTTTGTGGGCTCATAGTTCGAGGTTGTCGGTACCTCGGTTTCCTTCCGTCCGCCTGTAAAATTTTGTAAGATGCCTGGTAGTGCTTCTGCCGCATTCAAGGTAGCGCGCCCAATACTTTCGAAAACACCAGAAGAGGCCAAGAGGCGCGTTATGAACCTCTATCGGGCTTGGTATCGTCAGTTGCCCTACATAGTGAAGGAATACGGCTACACAACTGTGTCTGCAACTGTACCCCAATTGCGTCAAAAACTTAGGGAGGAATTCCTCAAGAACAAAGATGTAAAGGATATTAGAGTGATTGATCTTCTCGTTCATCGCGTAGGAACTAAGTTTCGTATCTAAAATTTAGGGTCAAAATGACCTCATCGAGACGGCTCATATATGGCGCTCGGATACACACGTGATGGATGCTTTTCATCAGACAGCTATCGAGAAACCCACTGATTTTCTTAGCAAATTCCTTCGTGGGCAATAGTGTGAGTTTGGTTTTAGAAAGTCTGCCGAAGCTGCTACCAGTCCTCACAACTAATAGTTTGCCCACCTCCAAAGGCATGTGAACGGAGCATCTTTTGTGGATCTTGTCATTTGTAGTTTCTTTAAAAATACAGAATCGAAGATTTTGTCCTCCTTTTCACGGTCACAGTATCTGGCCGTACTGTTTTTTTGCAGTTTGCTTTATGAATTATTGTTAGTGCTTCAAAGTTCATGGTCTATTATAACCTATTTAGTCTTCCGACAGAATATACGGCAACTCTCCGCCTAACCGCAGATATTGAAAATTTTACAAGTCATCTAAGCGAAATTTCTAAAATATGATCTCTTTTATGTATCGCGATACGCATAAGACTCGAGGTAAATTTTATCAACTAGTGTCAGCAGGTGTTTCATTAGGCATGACTACATAATCACTAATTTTGCCGTCTAATGCGGTGTCTAGTATAAAAGACTAGTTAACACAGTTGAATAAACAAATTCTATTCTTGAGATTTAAACAGTCTTTTCCGACTATGTCCATCTATCGCTCATCAGCATGGTGAACACGGGAGGGCGACTTGCACATGAATTAGTTTGGAATAATATTAGGCTTGCACCCCATGTATCACACTCTTGGTCTCTCAGGTCCGGTGTCATGAGAGAGTCAATTATTAGCAGCTAATATGGTACTTCCGCATTTCCTCGTTCCTTCGATGATCTTATCTTTTACCAATAACCTCATGGTTGTCGTGTTCTGAGCGCAAACACTACCTAGACACTACAATTTAGATAAGTCTGACGGACCCCTAGTCCAACTCCGTCCATTGTTAATAACAAAACCCGTGCCATATTTCACCTGGATCCTAAGGAATAGGTGCTTACGGTCATCTTAGAAAACTCACGGTCTCATTCCAAATCTATAGGCTATTTGGTAAGCCATGTTTTTCCTCCCTGGCATATAAATATCCACAATTTCACGGCTGCAGCACTAGCACTATAATACCGGTTCACACTTTCGCACTTATCCTAAATTCTTGGGATCTTTATGTGAAGTCAGCTTAGGCTTTCCGGTTCCACCTTCAGCAATCTATCATTCCTCTCTTGGTTTTGTAGCCACTGATTTGTGTGCTAATATCCAGACCGATTTAGAAATGATGCATTATCTCGGTGCAGTTATCCCAACTTGGCCAGTAAAGTTTCATTTAAGTTTTTCGCTCACGGAGTCAATTTAACTCAGTCAGATGCGTCAATGTGGGCACCAGCACCGGTCTGTAGTAATTTTTTAAGGGAAACTTTAGTTGTCCATAACCACCAGTCTGTCTGGTATGTCGTACTTTCTTTCAGACCGTTAAATGGCCTAGAGGTTGGGACAAAGTCGTTAAAAGATTAATTTTATTTTGTCCACCTGTGTGCACACCACGTGGACGATGTTAGGGATGGTTGTCAAACTTAGGCCTCGGCCGAGTTACCGTCATAACTCTTCTAATTTTGAGGGGACATATTCCTATGGACTATCGTGGCGAAGGAAGGGTTTGTTCGGTGTAACGCAACCCATCACATCGAAAAGAGACAACTTTGCGCTCCTTAATGTTTTTTCTGCAAAGTTTTACGTCTGTTGTGAACATATTGGCGCGTAAGTATTTCTGTAAGCTCGTTTATATCACTTAATTTGAAGGTTGACTTTAAAAAGTTCGCCGATTGCGGTTCTGCGACTTGTATGTCTGTGAAAGTAAACCTCTTCAAATAAAATTCGAATGCGCGATTGCTTTACCAACTTGTGCCCTCTTCCCAGCTTTAGCGTGGCCGTTCACTGAAAATACACCTGCAAAGGTCGAGCTTTTATTATTCGATCTGGCACTATCATTCGACATGCATATGGTTTTTCATGGGACCGTGATTAGGACTACTCAGCTCACAGCACTCAAAAGACGGCGGCTAATTTGATGTGTCTATTTGTTTTTCCAATTACGCCACTATCTGTGAACCGCTGGCTTAACGACTATTAATATGCCACTTATATCGTTTCATTAATATTTTAATGACACCATTTTATCACCCGTGATGTGCACACCCGACTGGCGTGCAAACAGGTTTTCAAGGGTGCTGCCGACCATCCTAAAAACATGGCGGAGGTGATCATCGTCGGACTGCCGTAAGTAGATAAAACTGTTAAGGTATTCGTTTTTGTAGCACTGTATGAAATTGGAGGGTTGTTGTATTGTATCCGAAAGTGTCCGACCGAACCGATGTGCGCGCGGAAAATGCATTGGTACCGTAGCAGGTTGAGAGTGCTTGCGCATTGTTTGTGTTAGTCAGGTGCGTTCTTTACTTAGGAGTCAACCTTTTTGACGGCAATTTGGTTGGTTTCGTAGATTGCTGCACTAGTTTTGACTGCTCTTCTTCAGGTCAGTCGGTCCTACGCTAGGTCTTTCCAGGTCGTTGAGTTTGTTTGGAGTCGCTTCAGGGTCTCCTTGTAGCGTCGCTTTTGCCCTCCTCGGTGAGCACCCACAGCAGCATCGTTTAATAAAAACCGTTTGGGTATTCGCTTATCGTCCCTTCTCACCAAGAAGTCGCTCCATCACAGTTGCATTTGCCTCAGTATGGCGTGGATGCCGAGGACTCCGGTTCGCTCCAGGACTTCTATGTCCGAGATTCTGTTCTGCAATCTCTGTTTGAGTATTCTACCGAGACAGCTAAGATGAACATGATCCAGCTTCCGAGCTTGGCTAGCAGGAGTATCGTGAGGACGACGGCCTTGTTCATCTTCAGTTTGTTGCGCAGTTGGAGGCCGTAGCGATTCCGCACAGAGACTTGCGCTTGGCCAAATGTCTGGCTGGCTTGGAGATCCTTTGAACAACCTTATTGTCGATTCTCGTGTTCGGGGACAACGCGCTTCCCAGATAGGCGAAGTTGTCCTCAGTTTTGGCATGGACGCCGTTAACATTAATCCGAGGAGTAGTGTATAACAATTTGGATGGTTGGCGCAGCTGGCGGTGAAGAGGTTCATGCTCCCTGTTCTGTCGTGTTGAGGGCGCAGTCATCCACGAAGAGCAGGTCGTCGGCTGTGGCCGTAGATACGCGCGTTGCCGCCTGCATAAGCCGGATATTGGGGAAGTGCCCATCAGTTCTGTAATCGATACGGATCCCACAGCGCTCATCACGGTAGGCATCCACTAGCATGGACAAGCTAAGCACGAGAACGTAGCCGTGCTTTATTTTTTGTTCATTGCAAAAGCTTCGCGTACCGTTCCGTTGTCATCGACGCATGCCATCATCCCATTGCGGAGCTGACTCGCCATGTGAATGAAGCGC